TACTCTCATGATAATTGTTCGGATGAGCCATTCACTATGGTACCTAGACTTTTAAAAAATTAAGCAAAATACTAGACGTCGAGATCTTATCAATTTACAGTTGAGCTGGCTAGATATAACCGCAAGTTCTATGCTAAACGTTTCTTTTCTCGCACTTCTCGCTTGTGGAGCCCCTTTTGGCTCCATGCTTTCCAGCCAACTTTAAACTGCAAAAATTGAAATGCAATATCAATCGCTATCTACTGTCTTCTTGATTATTCTTTTCTCTTCATGCTCATTATTAATGTTTCTGTTCCTAATTCGTCCACACCCTATAACCCCCACACAACGTGTTTTAGTGGCTTTATTGTCTTGCTTGGAGTGAAATCGTTTAAAAAAATATATCGGTTACAATTTCATAGGTGCTTGAACATTATTTTAGATGAAACTAGGAACCACCATAAAAAGAAATTGGTTGTCTCTCTAACGAAGTTTACCAATGAAGTTGGGAATTGGACATGATTAAAAAGCAGATAGGAATGGAAAGGCGTAAAATGTGCAATATATTAAAATTCTATAGTGAAAGATAGCACAAAAGATAAAAAAGAGTATGCAATAAAAATATATGTATATTCCTTATTTCTTTTACGATTATTAAACTGATCAACGTTTACATTCAAATAAAAATATGAACGGGGAGGGAAGATTGGAAGGGATAAGGGAGGGAATGGGAAGATACAGGAAAATGGGTGAGAAAAGTATAATGTTATGAGATAAAGGATTTCCTTGAGTCAACTATTTTTTTTTTTATTTTATCTTAACTTCAGTTGCTTTTTATCGCAATGAGATTTCGGACATCGCCACGGTAGTGTATTCTTTACTTTAGATTCAACTTTTTGATTAACGATCGTAGAAAAACTGTCTTGGAGTGGCAATAAAATCAAATGAAATTATGATCAAAATGTTTCATATCAGAAATTAATTATTATTATTATTTTTATTTTCTTTGATTTCTGGCATTTAAATTTTTCCGGGTCCCGCCTAGGGACCTAAGGTTAGAAATGGCATCATGACACTTTCCACTGACAAAAAAAAAAAAATTACATAGATAAAGCCTTTCGTAAAATTATGGGCTGTACTTGTCAGAACAATTTTTGTATCTCCTTGAGGCATAGACTTGTATTTCCTTGAGGCATTATTATTATTATTATTATTATTATTTCTGCTGTGGAAACACTTTCTGCGGAAAGACCTAAGGCAGGTCGTGGTGTGTTGTTATGGCCACATTTCATGTTAATTTAATTTTTTTTTTTTTTTTTTTTTTTTATCTCCGATGATTTACAAAAAAAAAAGACAAAAGCTTTTCCACCCTATTACCACTGGTATTATTCTTGTTTTCAATTTCCACATTTTTTCTATTTCAATTTCCAGGTCTTTGTATAAAAATTCCTGGTTGCATGGGAAGTTAGGCAAGTTTTTTTCTTTTCTGTTTTGACAATAATGTCCGGCCTATTTGAATTTTTCTGTCTGTGTGGATGGTATAATCCCAATCTTCTAAAACCGGCGCTGGCTGATGTTCATAAGTGTTTGCTTGATCCAGTGTAAGTATTGCCCCCACTTATCGTGACGATTTTATATTCATTTGGGGCAAGTATAGAACATCCTGAGATTAGATGGTTATTGTTTCTGGTATTTGTCACAGAACCTGCATTTTGATCCACATTATTATTTGATATTTCCTTGAGGCCATGAGACTCAACATTGGGTTTATTTGCACGTTCTTGATTAGCCATTTGTCTTGCCACGTTGTTTCATCTGTTCAAGGGCTTTATCCTTGGCTTTCTTTTTTCATATCTTTTGCTGCAATAGTTGGTTCATTATTTATTATAAATGTAAATGTTGTTTGTATTTACTTTATTGAATATTTTTTCTTTCTGTTTTCATTTGTTTCACTAATTTTATTCCATTTTGTTATTAGTTGTTGTCTTGTATGACAATTTAGCTGAATAAGACCTTTCCACCTTCTTTACGGGGTATGTATAGACGGTCTACCAGCCTTTGGATGATGCATCTTATACTTAGAAAGAAGCTTTCTGTTTTAGAATCCATTTGTCCATTTAGAGTCCATTCAAGAGAAACCCACTGGGAAGGCCATAATTCAGAAATGTTTTAATACCAGTCGTTTCTATAGTATTTCTTACGCAATTTTCTTATGGTTTTTTCATTTACACCTAGGTACTTATAAGCTTCTTGAAATCTTTATTGTTATCTAAAAAATCCTCGTAAAACAAAAAAATTGAATTTCAAACAAGGAAAAGACCTCAGCTATTGTCATTCATTTTAAGTCATCCATGTAAAATAGATTATTTTCTTTTGAGCTATTTTAACCGCATTCTGTCTTGTTAAGTTGGCTGGTTAATGCTATAAGTGATATGCAAAATATAAAGGAGACTTTTGAAATATTCCTCTATTGATGTTTATTTTGCCAATGGTTTTTTATATATTTTTGATGAAATTGATGATAACATCGGCTTTCAAGGGATCCCACTATCAATGTGTCTATCCAGGACCTTTATTATTATTATTATTATTTCTTTCCAAGAAGAAATTAAAATATTAATATTTGTTGGAAGACATGTAATTGGTCTTGTCTGAGTTTTGGTCATCCATGTTTTAGTCGTTCTTTGGCGAGTTTTTGTAAATTACGTAGTATTTTATCTATTCCTGGAGATTTCACTTTTTTTCGTGCTATGATTCCCATATTCTGTTCTGGTTTATTTTTTCATGTTAACTCTTTGCGCAACCAATCTGCCTCTTCGTTGTGTTCAGGACTCAGGGGACTGTCTGTTTATAGCAGGAAACTGCGTCTTAGAAATTGTATTGTTTGCTTTATTTTTTTCTTATCAAATATTGTATTTTCTTTTCTTTCTAGTTTGATTCAGTAATTCACTTCTAAGGTGTTCAATTTCTTTTTTCTATTTTTCTTTCCAAGGTGGATCTTCGCGTTCGTGAGACTGCATTTGATGTTCAGATTTTAATGCATATGCGAAAATGAGTGTCTTCTTCATCCAGAATCAATTTGCAAAGGGTTTTGAATTTGAGATTTTGGGAGTTGTTCTCGTTCCCTCCATTGCAATATTCTGTATCTGACTTTCGGTTTCATCCTTGGCTTCTTGTAACTTGTTTTCTTAAACATGATGAATTCCATTACGTCTGCAGATAATTTTTTTCATTATCTTCACAGTGGAATGCCTGAGGCTTGTGTGATGTTATTTTTTTTTTTCAGATGACGAAAAATTTCAGCCTCTGGGTTTTTCGCATTTCCTTCAACATTGGCTAGTTTATTTTATGTTTTCTAATTGTTTGCCTTGTTCAAATTCAACAAATGTCATATGTTTGGCGAAAGGTTTGAGTAACGCTTCATGGAATGCAGTCACGTACTCCTCCACGAGACCATTTTATTTTTTCTTTCCTTAAATTTACGGTTATGGTGGAGAATTGGACAAAAAACCTGAAGATGAGAGTTTGTTCCTATGGCAGATTTTTTCGAGTAGGTTCCCTCCTGAAGGACGGGCTCCTGTTTATCCACTGGAAGAGCCAAAATTTTTAATTTTCCCCAAGACTCCATCCATGGTTCGCGAAGCAGTAGCCATTCACCTCTGCCTTGCTTTGTTGTCATTTTCCTTTCCTAAATGTGGAATAATGACGCTGATATCTTTCAAAGGCGGAATCCTTCTTAGAAAGATTGCATTTTCTTTTCAAAATTCTTAAATGTAATAAATGTAAATTCCGTTATTTTTAATAAAGTCGTTGAACAGGAAAAACAAGAAATTGTATTGTTTTTACAATGTTTTTTGCGGGGTGGAAAAAACTAAGGGATATGTGAATGTTATTTAATTTTTATTTATTATTTATTATTATTATTATTATTATTATTATTATTATTATTATTATTATTATTTGTTCTTGACTTCCGTTGCTAGTCCCAAAAAAATCCCAAAAAACAAGGAAAATCCTGGTTTTGTGGAGTACAATGTTTTTTATATTTTTTGACATGAACCCATTAATTAGCAGATTTATATGTTAACCAACCAAGGCAGGACTAGGCTGTATAGCAAAACTAATTTATCCATTTGACAGGAAGGGGGTAACAATTACTAACAAAACATGATGTTTTCAATCTTTCATATGAATGCCTTAAGATGACGAAATATTTTTGATTTAACAGAAAACGAAATCACAGTCCTTGCTTTTGTGTCAAAATGATAAAAGCGAATAAAATTCCGTGACCGGTAATAAAGTCACAGGAAAACAAATAACAGAAAAAGTTACAATTTTAGCTAGAAAAAAAATCCCAACCTGGTTTTGTGAGTGACATGAACCCATTATAGCAGATTTTTGAACCACGCGTATTACTGACAATAATTTCCATGACAGGAAGGGTAACAATTATTTTTCACTAAATCCAAATATTGTCGATCTAATAAAGTCACAGGAAAAACAAATAACAGAAAAAGTCACAATTTTAGCTAGAAAAAATCCCAACCTGGTTTTGTGAGTGACATGAACCCATTATAGCAGATTTTTGAACCACGCGTATTACTGACAATAATTTCCATGACAGGAAGGGTAACAATTATTTTTCACTAAATCCAAATATTGTTGATCTAATAAAGTCACAGGAAAGACAAATAACAGAAAAAGTCACAATTTTAGCTAGAAAAAAAAATATCCCAAATCCCTAAATCCAAATATTGTTTATCTACTACACCATTGAGATCCTAAATGTCCACTATTCACGCTGTCTTTAGGGTTAGAGGTTAGGGTTAGGGTTAAAAAAATGTCTATTAAAGAAAGACGCAGAAAGAGTACTAACATTGTCCTGTTTCCTGTTTCCTTTTGTCCTGTAACTTTTTCCAGTGACTTTTTTCCGTGACTTCTTTTTACTATTGAACTGCAGTCTTTGAAAATGAAGGTGATGACATTGATAATTTAAATAAGTTTCAGATACATCTGAAGCTTGTGGATATATCACGTTGAAACACCTGTTCTCGTCCGATCACCGAAGTTAAGGAACGTCGAGCCTTGTCAGTACCGAGATGTATAACCGCCTGGGAATACCAGCTGCTGTAAGCTTGGATGTACGCCCAGTTCCAGTCGGGTCCGTTACATTCACTTACGCGCAAATCTCACTGGAAAAGTGTTATGGGGTCCACCCCTTTTTCATATAAGTGGACTCAACCAGAGTGTTACTTGGACTGCTGCTGTTAAATATCCAGAGTCACTCAGAATAGAGAGAGAAATTGAGAGATTGGGAGAGTGAGATTGTGATTGAGTTGGAGGTAGAGTAATAGTGTGAGGTAACCGCTTGTAGAAGTCAGTTACAAGCACGTAGACTCTAAAGAAGTCCTACTTCGTGACTGTATATATATATATATATATACAGTGTAACCCGGATATAAGAGAGTTGTCGGGACCGGAGAAGAAGTCTCTTATATCCGGGTTTCTCTTATATCCGGTTTTGGTCTATTTTGTTTACATTAACACAGGCTCTAATTTGGGACCAGAGAAAATCTCTCTTATATCCGGGTTTCTCTTATATCCGGGTCTCTTATATCCGGGTTACACTGTATATATTATTGCTACAAACCGCGTTCCTGGATTTACTAACAGTATTACTCATTGTATTATTGTGTAAATACATTTAATTTTTTATCCTTAATTTTTGCGTTTGCCATTCTTTGGAGGCCGAATTTCATCTCGGAATCCACAACAAAAAGTTTTGAACCCACCACTTCTCCCTACCCACTCAGCTGTGGATTAATTAGTAGAACTTGTATAAGTAAAATCACTACCATCTCCCAAAAATTCTTACAATTCCAAAAATATTTTCTGGCTTTAAATAACATCTAAAAATGTTGATACACCGTAAAAAAACAAACAAAACATTTAATACATGCATTTGTTTTTTGGTTTGTTTGTTTTTTTTTCCATATATACTCTACGACTATTTAAGACCTAATTTGAAGCTAATTTTAAAGAGGGGGGGCATCATACACGAGATATAAAATTAGCGTATGCACTGCTGGCTCTGGCTTGGCCATTGTCCAAACTATTTATTCATTTACACTAGTCAAATTAGCTTCAAAATTAAATCTTCAATGGTCGCATAATACGCGAGTATATATACTGCATATCCTTTCTGGTAAAACGTAATTTCTTCCCGAACACGGTAATATTTTTCTTTTGCACTCTGCCATTGCCTGTATCTTCCAATTCCCTCCCTTATCCTTTCCAGTCTTCCCTCTTTTCCACTGCTACCTGCTTTTTAACCATTCTTTTATTGTTCCTTGATATCTAACCAGAAAGTCTTTCGTACTTTCGCCTCTATGGTGTGCGAGTGGTGTAAACGATAGCGTTTTGGAATGAAAAGTCAAAGAGTCGTATTCGAATTCCAGTCGCGCAAATACACTTCGAAAAGTTATGAATCCCCCCTAGCTATGGGTTAAATAGTAGGACTTGTACCTAGAAAAATCATTATTATTCGAAAAAGAATTTGTTTTATGTAATAGTCACTCGCAAAAAAAAAAAAAAAAAAAAATTATTCTTACGATCCAAAATATGTTTCGGGTTTAAATAATCCACATAGGGTTGATAAGCCGTAAAAAAATCAATCAAACAAATCTTTCGCCTATCCCGTCCCACTCTTTTTATGTATTTTTCCTTTCACTTCATTTCCTTTTGTTATTTGTATTTTTCTTACTACTTTCTTTTCGGTTTCACACCCGTTTCTCTTCTCTTTTTTGTTTTTTTTTTCCTAATTGCTCCCTGACCCTAATGACATTATGTAGGGTTTTTTGGTCGGAAAGTGTTTGATTTTTTTGGGTGGGGGGGTCTTGTGTTAATCATTTCACCCCAAGCAAAACAGAGGACCTACAAAGATACAAGTGGTTACTGAGTGTGAAAGAAGAAAGAGAAAAAAAGACATTATTAAGGAGAGAGAGGAAAATAAAAGAATAAGAATTAAGAAGACAGAAGATAACGATAGTTGACTGGAATGCAAGAGGTCGGAAGAGAGTTCAACACTGAATAAATGAGTTGCTGATTTCAGTAGGCAAAGACAAAGGATCAAGCAGATACTACACTCTGATCTTAAGTAGAAAATTGTCGTAATGGTCGTTATCCTTTCTGCTAAATACAATGCCATCTAGAATGGTTGTGTCTGTGGAAATCTCTCAATGTATAAAATAAGCCTAAAGATTCAAACAAAGTTTTCACCGGAATTGTTTTTATAATAACCTGGAATAAAATAATTTTACCGAAACAAATAAGGACCGTGTCCGGGAGTGGGGTTGAAGGAGATAATTGAGCCGATGGATAGCGGCTTGGATTGAGGAATCGGAGAGCCGAGTTCGAATTCCAGTTGAATCCATTACATTCACTTACGTGCTAATACCCTTGGGAAAGGTATGAATCCCACGCCCACCGGCTATGTGCAAGTAGCAGGACAGACCGGTTTCTATAGCCTTGGATGGCAACTGGTCTACCGCAAAAAGAAATGGCAACCTACTGCAGGAAAATGTCTGCCTCATCAGTCATGTATCGAAAGATACATGATCGCCGAAGCGTGTATCACGTATGGCACATAACTGACTGACACAACAATACATATAAATCAGCAGAATAATAGTTGAGGTTAGTTGAATTTAAAAAAAAAAACAAAGAAAAAGATGATGATAAAAAGTGGCTAACAAAAAAGAACTGATTCATTCATAAGACATTCTTTTTCTTCTTCTTTTTATGTGCCATGTCTCTTCAGGAAGTAGAGGATCAAGGCTCTCCACATCTTCCTGTTTCGTGAAGCTCTTAAAAAGTTTTGTCTTTTTGTTATTTCTCTCAAACTCTGTACTACCATCCATTTACTCAAGTCAATCAAGTCTGTTAAGCGCTGTTTTACTCTGGACCTCTCTCCCTCAATCTGACCTGTGAGTATCAGATTTTTCAAGCCTTGCTGTAGAGGCGATACGTAGTAGCAGTGCAACATGCTTTCAAAAAGAAATTCTCTCTTTACTTGTAACGGGAAGCGCTCCTCTCCAACCGGAGTACTTTTCTTTGTCCAGAAATATACATTTCTTTGTACAGAAATATTCATTTCTTAGTACAGAAATAAACGTTTCTTTGTATAGAAATGTGCATTACTTTGTACAGAAATTTGCATTTCCTTCTACAGGAATATACATTTATTTGTACAGAAATATACATTTCTTTGTACGGAAATATACTTTTCCTTTACAAAAATATACTTTCCTTTTTTACAGAAATATACATTACTTTGTATAGATATATATATTTCCTTCTACAGAAATATACATTTCTTTGTACAGAAATATTCATTTCTTTGTACAGAAATAAACGTTTCCTTGTATAGAAATGTGCATTACTTTGTACAGAAATTTACATTTCCTTCTACAGGAATATACATTTCTTTGTACAGAAATATACATTTCTTTGTACAGAAATATAATTTTCTTTTACAAAAAATATACTTTCCTTTTTTACAGAAATATACACTACTTTGTATAGATATATACATTTCCGTCTACAGAAATATACATTTCTTTGTACAGAAATATTCATTTCTTTGTACAGAAATAAACGTTTCTTTGTATAGAAATGTGCATTAATTTGTACAGAAATAAATGTTTCTTTGTATAGAAATGTGCATTAATTTGTACAGAAATAAATGTTTCTTTGTATAGAAATGTGCATTAATTTGTACAGAAATAAACGTTTCTTTGTATAGAAATGTGCATTACTTTGTACAGAAATTTACATTTCCTTCTACAGGAATATACATTTCTTTGTACAGAAATATACTTTTCTTTTACAAAAATATACTTTCCTTTTTTTACAGAAATATACATTACTTTGTATATATATATATATATATATATATATATATATATATATATATATATATATATATATATTCCTTTGCAGAAATATACATGTCTTTGTACAGAAATATACATTTTGGACTCGGACACTACAGTTAACGAACAGCGTATATTTTCACATGGTCAGACATTTTTTCAATCCTGTTTCATGCAATGGCTATTTCATAAATTTTACCCATCTAGGCTGTGACCAGGCTCGAGGTTGCTTAACCGATGATCCTACGAAAATCGTTTTTTTTTTTCAATGTGATATGGCCGTAAGCCCCGTGGCAGGGGCTCCACGAAAGTGTAGAAACTGACCCAAATGGTAAATGTCAAGTTTACAAATGGTCCTTTATTTATGTTTTCATTGTTATTAGGTTGGTGCAAAAATAATGACGTATTAATGTCGTTTTTTGACGTTAAAAATACGTTATTACGTCATTATTTTTGCACCAACCTAATAGTGATCTAAGTTGCATTGTACAGAAATAGTAGAATTCTAAGAAGAAATTTGGCTATGATTCCATGTTGGGACATCTTTTAAAAGACGCCCCGTTATTATCTTAAGATAATGGTAGTTCTTTGTATAAAACAATTCAAGTCATGCCGCAACTGATTTGATAATGGTAGTATCGTGCTGTGGTCTTTTAAAAGACAGCCCGATATAGAATTACAGCCATATTTCATCTGGCACGGTTTAGAATTTCTGTTAGTTCGACACAATGCAACTTAGAACACAAATATTGAATTCATAGTGTCAACGAACAACCTGAAAATGGCTAATGAATTTTTCGAAAGAGATTAGAAAGAAATATTCGTGGCCAGACTACAGTCTCTTAGCATCGGCCAAAAGAAAAATGTAGAATATTAAAAAAATTATTAAAAAAACTGACACATTCAATAAAACATGTTTAAATGAAATGACCAAATACACAATATATATATATATATATATATATATATATATATATATATATATATATATATATATATATATAATAAAAAAAGAAAGAACAGTAAGATATAATATCAGGTGTTCTTATTGATATTTATATTTTAAACTTACAAAACAGTGCTCAATGTAAATTTACAGAGCATAAATATTATAAATTAACAAATTTAAAATATGTTTTTTTCGTTACACAGTAATAACTATGTTTCAAAAACTAAAGCTAAAAACTTAAAATTTAATTAT